TGTAGGGTCCTGAGTCGACTAGAGAGAAACTATTGTGTAACATGGAGGGAACCCTTTGCTATAGTAAAGAGTCTGACATATTTCCATCCTTACCTCTATGGGGCTAGGTTTACCATCAGGACAGACCATGCTGTGTTACGCTGGTTAAGATCATTAAAGATCCCAGAGGGACAACTGGCACATTGGATCAGAAGGATAGACCAGTATAATTATGATATTGAATACAGAGAGGGAAAATCTCATGGTAATGCCGATGGACTGAGTCGAAGACCCTGCAAAAATGACTGCAGACATTGCTACAAGAGAGAGGTTGAGCTAACCAAGTGCCAACAAGCTGAAGGCAAAGTGACTGAAAAGTCGATGATAATGAAGTGGAACCAGGTATAGATATTAAAGCAGAACAAGAGAAAGACCGGGATTTGAAGCCAATAATTGATTTTCTACAAGCAAGTGTTTTGTGCCCTGCTTGGGAGAAGGTGTCTAGCTTAAGCCCTGTGACAAAGAATTATTGGGCACAATGGGACCAGTTGAAGCTTAAACATGGTATTCTTCTTCGGGGATGGGAAACTGCAAATTGGAGAGTGACGACCCGGCAAACAGTTATACCGAGAAAGTTACGGGAAGCTGTGCTGCGTCAATCCCATGATACTTTAACAGGAGGACATCTCGGAGTTAAGAAGACATTGAGTCACCTACGACAAAGATTTTACTGGATAGGTATGAGGCGAGATGTGGAAGAATGGTGCAGAACATGCAGTACATGTTGTGCTAAAAGGGGACCTAAGCATAAGGTACGTGCTCCAATGAAGTGATATCAAGTTATTACTCCAATTGAAAGAGTAGCCATTGACATTGCTGGTCCTTTGCCCCAAACTCGTGCTGGAAACAGGTACATTTGTGTGGCGATGGATTATTTCACCAAGTGGCCTGAGGCATATGCAATACCAAATCAGGAAGCTGCAACAGAAGCTTCAGCTATTAGTGATTTCTTCTTCAGATTTGGTATGCCAACAAACTGCATTCAGATCAAGGCAGTAACTTTGAATCAGCTGTATTCCAAGAATGTTGCAAATTGTTTGGCATCCGAAAGACCAGGATAACGCAACTTCACCCACAGTCCGATGGG